GATTGAGATTTTACAACTGGGTCAGAGAATCCCCTAAGTATTTTCAGAGCTTAAGAATTTCTCAAGTTAAAGTGTTGTGTCAGCAATTTGTAAAATAGATATATTAGTTTGACATTCTCATAGCAAAGATCATCTTGACCATTTCTGTTTCTCCCACAGAACCAGAGACAATATCTAGTACATATTATACATGCAATAAGTGCATTTGAAATGCAATCCAATAGCTCCTTTCTGTTCCAAATGCTTTTCTTATCTCCTGTAAGCTTATCTCTCATTGGTGGATATTTTTATGCCAAACTACTCCTTAAAGCCTCCAATCTCTCCTTTTAATCTTTATAGTCAGTGATATGATCTATTATCCATAAATGGAAAGATATTAGGAATATGATTAAAATGTTTGTTGCATATAATGGTAACACTATGTAAATGTTACTGCGTTCTAGGAACTGCACCAAGTAGGTTCCATGTATGCTACACTTTAATCCTCACAATAACCCAGTGATTAGATGCTATCACTCCTATTTTACAGATGAGGAAACTGAGGCTTGGAAAAGTTAAGTAAATTACCCAGGGTCAAAAGCTTCTAGTTAGCACCAAGGACCTAAATATTTCTTATTTCAAAGTCCACACTTTTATAGTTAATCAAAGTATAATTTTACAGACAGATTTTCCGATATTCACACATGGTACAAGACACTTTGCCACTGGTTTATCACTATCGAATGTATTGACTAGTCTATCAATAAGCTTGCTATTTCAGAAAAAGGGATATAAAATATCCCTGAAAATGGTATAACTATCTACTCAGTTGCCTTATCTTAAAAACTCTGAGGTGACCGTAACTCTTTTCCCACCCTTTGATATTCCAAGTGTAACCTATTATTATTGACCTTATGCCTGAAATGTATTTTATTTATTTATTTATTTATTTATTTATTTATTTATTTATTTATTTTGTGTGAAGAAGATCAGCCCTGAGCTAACATCCACGCTAATCTTCCTTTTTTTGCTGAGGAAGACTGGCCCTGAGCTAACATCTATTGCCAATCATCCTCCTTTTATTCCCCAAAGCCCCAGTAGATAGTTGTATGTCATAGCTGCACATCGTTCTAGTTGCTGTATGTGGGACGCAGCCTCAGCATGGCCGGAGCAGCCGTGCGTCAGTGCGTGCCTGGGATCCGAACCTGGGCCACCAGTAGCAGAGCGCGCACACTTAACCGCTAAGCCACAGGGCGGGCCCTGAAATGTATTCTAAATCTGCCCCAGTCTTCATTATAATCCCCATTGCTGTCCCAGTTTTCATCACTTGAATGGATTGCTTCATATCTGGTCTTCTCTTCTACTCAAGCCTATTGTCCACATTGCCTTTGGAAGTATTTTTCTAAGCAGAAAATTTAGGTTGTTGATCTTAAATATATTGATATGTTTAAGGAAATCTGATTTCCTTTACTTACTAAAAAAAACCTTAAAATCCTTACACATTATAAGCCTTTCTACCCAAATCTTTAGATTTATTTTCCTCTAGTATCCTTCAGTTCTCTTCTACTCAAAAAAGCTATTCCTGATGGTGAAAACACACAAACAAAAACAATAAACAAACCCACATTCTACTTGTCCTTGGAAATGTGCAAAATGTTCACCTGAAAATCTCAGCATCACTTTTTTGTCTAACTTGGTTTTTAAGTCCTATATAAATTATTTAATAAATATTATGAAAGAAATTAAAAAACAATCTACACAGAGTATTTAAATACCACTTTCAAAGTTGGTTGTTATTAAACTAACGAGAGTTACTAGTTTGTTTATTTTCCAAATTATTTAAGCTTTTTTTTAAAACTCATTTGCAGAGAAAGCAATTGGAAGCAATTAGTAAAATTGTATTTTATGTACACTAAATATTTACCTATTTTTAAATTTCTGTATGTTTATTTTAGAAGGTTAAGGGAGAAATAGATCAACTGTGACAGATACCATCTAGCCACTTGAAGCAGTCAAATCATTAATCTAAGCTTTCAATTTAGGATAAGATGTAGCAGATGATCCATTCTCAAATTCTAAATGTTTTCATAGATATAAGACAGTGTATTTTTTGTAAATGTTGAGATTTGATCCTCAGTGCAATTACGAGAAACCTGCAAGAAGGTATTCAAATTGATTTGTTTAATTATGATACGATGTAACTAATTAATCTCATAAGTATCTATGTAAATATCTTCTCAAATTGTCGGACATGGTTCCATTCTATGCTAGAGAAATTTCTCTGAGTATCAAGGCATAAAAACTGAGGCTAAATATTGAAAGGAAAGTCACTATATATTTCAACAATAATTAATACATAACCAATATCAGGTTAGTAACACAGAATTGTAGTAGGCATTTTATTACTCAGTTGGGTGGTGTGTTTTCAAAACTGTGTTCCGGTTGTAGGTTTGATAAGAAGAGGAAGATGATTGAAATTGTGTTGATAGTAATAGGGAAAAGAAGCAGAAATACTGGTTAACATATTACTTCCATTCCTTGCTAACTAATTGTCCTTGGCATTCATGCAATCGTGGGAGGTGGAGCAAATACAACAGACGCAATATCTCTACCACCAGGACAGCCTTCTGGATTGCAGCCAGGCTTGGCAACGGAAGCAAATCACATGTCATGTCCTCCACTCATACCTCATGGTAGAAGGAAATTAATTTAGAGTTGGAAACGACATCAGAGTTATATTTCCTCACTTTACAGATGAGAAAAGTGAAGCTCTGGGAAAATCATGTTTACAGGATTGGATGGGGGTGCATCTCAGATATTCTCTTTCATTTTTGGTACAGATTCCAGGACTTTTGAACGAAATAATGTTGGTCACTAAAATGTGACCAACAACCACCTCCTCTAAACATCAATGGAACACCTATATGTCAAACACAGAGCTAATTATTTTACATATACTTTAGAATTTAACCCTTTTAACAACTCAATAAGGCCAATACTCTCTTCATTTTATAGGTGGACAAACTGAGGCTAGGAGAGATGGACTAACTTGTCATGGACCTGCTAATATGTGGCAGATGTGAGATTTGAACTCAGTTCAGTTGGACTCCTAAGACAATGTTTTTTTTGTTATACTTTCCAGATGCTTTCTTTAATGGGAATGGTTGAATTTGGTTCTGGAAGGACAATTATAGCTTACAATAAAAGGGTGTTTATATCATTGCTAATAATTATATCAGTGTCAATATCCTTGTTAAAGTCATTTAAAATATTATATTAGGCAACAGCACTACAAAATGTAGGTTTTGAATTCCCGGGTTTCTTATGAAAAGATTGAAGCAGCTCACTTGTCTGAATGTAAAGGTTATACACATTAACAGAAACTATAGTACAGAGTACCCAGTGCAAAGATAAGGGAAGCCCAGGGAGCTATGAAAATGTAACTCAGCTTTGCGTCAAGGATCATCTACTGACAGGAAATGTAAAGAGAAAATCCTACACTCACAAAACACTGACAGACAAAGAACACATATAGAACAATAAATACGCATTCCCTCATTCTTTTTTTCCTTTGGCTACCCTCAGCTCTCCTTGTTCTTTCTATTCTGCAACTAAAATTGCTTGCCTACTAAACAACTGCCTATGGAACAAAGACTGAGCAAGGAAAAGGAAGGAAGAAACTCATTCTGCTGATCCCAAGAAACTTTGACACCAGTTTTCAGACAGCCTTTAGTGGAGATGCAGGTTGTACAGAAAGGTGTGTTTGTTGAACAAGGTTCACGACAAATGCCCCTTCATAGCGAAAGTCTGCTTCATAAAAGCAACCATTTCCTCTGAGGAGTTCTCTCTTAATAGAGCTCATGTAGCCCGTCTTTGGGGGAGCTAGTAGGTTTTCATAAAGATCAGGGATGAGATCAGGAAAACAGTAAGGTCATCACAGTCAATGCATTGCCATTTCAGCCATGCCTCATCCTAGGAGACTGTAATATGCAGGATCTGTATCTAAGTCAGTCCAGATCATTCTGATGTACTTAATTGCACAGTGGCATGTTGAGGATGAAATTACAGTACTTGTTGTCATTGAAACCATAGAGAAACTTGCGAAGAAGAAGCTGCAAGTACATATCCAGTACTGTCCAAGGGAGACAATATTATGGTTTTAGACAACTCATGCATTTTAGTAAGACATATTCCTAGTGTGATAGAAAACTCATTTAGAGAACCCAAAAACATGTTGTAATTCTATGCACTCAACTGAACTATGGACCTAAAATTGCTTTACAAAATGGACTTTACTGGGAGACAGTGGCTTAAGGAACAGATGGGTTACTTCTTTTCCCAGGAAGGCAAATTCAACAGCTTTTCAGTTATATTTCCCTCACAGGCTCCAAAAGCCCTGTAGACCAAAAAAAGTCCTTATCAATTGCATTTAAACGCAATTATTAGACCTCCCATTGTAAGTTAATAAATTAAGGCTTTCATTAAATAAATTATTTATCATAGCCTGATTATGTTTTGGTGAAATTAGAAAATTAAATTCAAGAGTCTACAAAACTGAAGCCCAGGGCCGGCCCTGTGGCTTAGCAGTTAAGTGCGCGCGCTCTGATGCTGGCGGCCCGTGTTCGGATCCCGGGCACGCACCGACGCACTGCTTCTCCGGCCATGCTGAGGCCGCGTCCCACATACAGCAACTAGAAGGATTGTATGTGGGACGTACATACAACTATCTACTGGGGCTTTGGGGGGAAAATAAATAAATAAATCTTTAAAAAAAAAAACAAAAACTGAAGCCCACACTCTGGATCCTTTTTATTCCATTAAGGTATCAGCTCCGCCATTTGAGACTTTGATTTGAACAAATATCAATCAATTATAACCTTATAAGTATTACAGATAATCTTGCATATCATATAAATCTAATTTGTACAAAGTATAGCTAAGTGATATGGATGAAAAATTCATAGCTCATATCAGAATAAAGGAAGAAAAGACAGACTTCAATAGAAAAGAAAATGTCTTACTTGGTTAAGAATGTCTTGTTTCTGTGCATGCAAGGAAAGAAAGAATACATGTGTTAATGTAAGATAATTTATACTTATTATCTCATATCGATGATAATTCAACTAGAAAACCAAGTTTACAGATTGATTTTAAAACATACCCTAGATCCATGGGTCTCAAAATGTGGTTCCAAAACAGCAGCATCAGCATCAACTGGGAAACCGATAGAAATATACATTTTTGTGCCCCACCCCAGAAACACAGAAACTAAGGGGGGAAGGGAGTAGGCAGCAATCTGTGCTTTAAGAAGACCCCCAGGTGACTCTGATGCAAGCTAAAGTTTGAGGATCATTGACTAGATCAGTCTTTGAACGTAATAAGCAAATAGTTCTAATTGACATGAGATAAATATAAGGAATAACAGTTACAGTATGATTAAAACCTTCCAGAGAAGATTATGAAAATATAACAGTATTTATAAAGATATATTAGGTTATGAATCTTATTTCCCACACCTAATGATTTCTTCTATTAGAATAACATGCCTAGCCTCTCTCCATGCCTTTAAATATCTTTCCACACACATGCCACTCCTTAATTTCTTCCCATCTCGTTAAATGTCAATGGAACAATTTGGAATTGAATTTGAAATCCAGCGGGTAAAATATATAAATATACATATTTAAAATATATATACAAAAAAAAAAAAGATATATAATATATATGCCTGCAATGCAAAACTGGATCTTTCTCAGATTATCAAATTCCAACACACATAAATCAGTTATATCTGAGATGTCCTGACTGTGTTTTACTGTGAACTCTCTCACTAAAACTGGATGGCTACTACAAACTAGCTATAATCATACTCTTAATATTATATTATTCACATGAGACCAGGTGGAAACTAATAGAAATCTCTTACCTTATCAGGCATGAGTCAGTAATAATTATATGCCATACTTATTACATAGACAATGTCGTTCAATGAATGTGAAATACCTTTTCTTTCCCCTTATTCTTCTCATCTCCCAAGGCCTTCCCTCTCATTCTATGGCATAGTCAATGAAGTGAAGAGGAAAGTGCATCAGTCTTAAACTGGGATTATAGACAACTAGATTTTAATTATGGTTATTGTCACAACTCTAGCTGGTTAATCTTGGGAAAGTCATTTTACTTTTCTTAAAATAAGTTTACTTATTTAAAAACTTTATAATTTTATTTGTTTAGGAATCTCAAGACCTTTTTAAAGTTTTATTCTTAGGGAAACTCTAAAGCCACTGTTTACATTTATATCTTACAATCCCGTTATTTATTTCTTCAAAGAATGATTATCATCAAATTATCTTTAAAAAATATGAATTAAAAAGAAATGATTCATCCATATATTTCACTTAATATTTCTTCTCTATTAAAATAGACTTAAACAGGTCACATTTTCACTGGATTAAGTTTTTATACACAACACTTTTAAAATTCAGCAATTTAAGTGAAGAGTGATAAGAAAAATAATGCATCTACCATTAAAGCAGCTTTACTTTGAAAGGAGAGAAGTAATTTAAGAGATATTTAATTGTTCTCTCTTTGCAAATACATTTTATATGGATGACACAAGCCATGTTCATTTTAGAAAACTAAAGATTAGTTATTTATTCTAAAGGCAGACTAGATGAATAACTTTTCTAATTTTTCTTCTATAACTGAGCATCAATTAAGCAGTCATCTACGCCAAACAACTTTGAGCTTAACTTGACCAGTCAATAGAGAGTGATAACTTCACTCGTGAATTGACAGTATGAATTCTTTCACACTGTTAGAGTAACCTTTTATAAATTGGATGAAGTCATGTACTGAAGAGGCCCTAAAGATTTCTTTCTCAACATTTGATATTCCTAATTATTTCCTATTGGCTTTTGTAAATAAAAGAGTCATATAAATTAAATTTTTCTCCTAAAGGGAAAATATCTATCAGTGTTAAGATTAGAGGGTGGTTGCACTCAAATTAAAATTACTTTTGGGTCATAATGAGATCTAACTACTTTGCTTTTCAATTGTTCATTATTTTAATAATGCATTTCAAGAGGAGATCTGTGCATTTACAGAGAGGTATTACATTATTGAAAAGGCTGACATCATATGTGTGTCTAACAATGAATCTAGTAATTACCTCAATAAATCCAGTATGCAGTGACTGATAATCTTCATGAAATACATAATATCAGTAAGAGTAAGTCTTGAGAGTCCTTTAATAAGAAATCATTGAAGCAACAAGGCTACTTTGCAAACAAGATCACAATCCAACTGAATTTATAGTCAGCAGCTATGTTTAGGGAGAAAACACTGGTTTTATCTCTGTATATAGATAAGGTAACATGCATGTTTTCAAGTATGGTTGGGAATGTAAATATTAATGACATTTTTAGGTCTTATAGCAATTCAGTAAAGTTGTCATCTTTACCTTTCCCATTCTGCTTTCTTGGTCTTTGAGATTTTCAGTTCTACAAATTTATCTGCCAAGATTTTTTTCTCTCACTCTATAGCATCTAGGAAAATAAAATGTGAGGGAAATGTAGGCCAGATGTCTGCTTTTTTTCTGATATATGAAAATGGGAATGACTTTAAACTGCCTTATTTTCCCCATCATATGTAGGCACTAAATATTAACTTTATTTTTTAAAAAGAAGATAAATCTTATGTTAAAGAGTTTTAAAAGGAACAGTAATGTATCAGAATATAGACAGAAAAAGAAAATACGGCATGAAAAATAGCTATCTACTAGAAATACTGAAAGGAAATTATAAAAGACTATGAAAGTTTTGGGCTTGAAATTTAGAGATTGGATTTTGACTAAAATGTAAGCTCTATAAATCCCAGAGAAATATAACATTGAAGAATAATCAAGAACTGTGCTCTTGTAAACATTCAAAATCACAATGACAATGAAAACAAAAAACAAATCACATTTTAATCAGCAAACAAATCTACCTAGATGGCTAGATAATACATACAGGCAAAAGGGTCTTTTTTGTTTCAACTCCCATACAACCCAACTACCAGTAGATGAAGCTGCAAAAGAACTCACAGCAATGATGAGCAAACATTTAAAACGTAACATCTCTCGGCTAACAGTAAACAGAAAGTTATTTAACAAATAATTAAGAAGGTTATTTAACAAATAATTAGCATTCATTCAAGTACGGTGTTCAAAAGCAATCAACAGGACATAAAGTTTTGTAAGGAAAGAATTTCAGAGCTTGTAAGCTTTACTGGTAATAGGTTAAAGCAAGATAGGGGGAAGAAATTCCTCTCATTTTGTCCAAGCTGGTTCTTTAAAGTAATGGACCGGTTATATCCATCACAGACTCTTTCTTCAGTCAAGGGAATAACTCCCTGAAAGGAGTAACCCCCTGCCTCACACCAATGTTCATTTGGGGTTAAAATTGGCAGGACATTGAGTGCGAGTCAGGCACACGTCTTCTGCCCTTCTATCTAATTCTGTTTCTTGACTTCTAGGAAAAGAACACTCTTGTAGATGATCTATACTCTTTTAAGCACACAATATAGACATGTTATTTTCATTAGCAAAATGGTTTTGGATGAAAAAGGTAGTACAACATTTAATGTACCTTCCAGAATAGCTTTTCATAAGGAATTGCATTTTGTTTATGTTATGATATATGGTATACATATACTTCTAAGAGCTCTTCATTAAGAAATCCCTCCTCCAAGCATATTTATGAAACAAATATAAAGAAAAAAAGTTTTACCCCTTCAGGATTATACTTTGCAAGCACACCATTACCATGGAATTCTTCAAGAACATCCTTTAATTTCTTTGTAGAATCTATAAGAAATAGAAAACATACAAATTGTTTATATGTACCTACTGTGGTTAAGTAACCCAGTTCAGAAACAAAGACTTCTTAAAATAGAAATAATCACCAACAGACATTAAATTTTGAAGTGAACATGTAAAATGTTCTTTACTGCTTTTGAAAGTCTATTTAATTATAACAAAAGAATCCTCGGAGTTAATACGGGAAATAATGTCAAGAAAGACATAAATATTATTAGACCTAAAAAATTATATATAAATATAATATAAATACATGTATTTAATTTACTGAAATAATGCTCTCATAGTTATCAAAATATAATTTTTTGACCAAGCAATCTTAGAATTACAATATATTTAAGTTGGAGGAAAATAAGGACTAACAAATATTGATATCATCCAAATATTCAATCAAATTTGAATAACAGTGATAAAACAAGCCTGAAATAAAAATGTGGAAAATAAGCAGAAGACTCTTAGTTTTCCATTATAGAATAGGGCATGGATGTTGTTTCCTAGCATTTAAATATAATCCTTCCTACCTTTCCCAAAGACTCGGTAATATTTGAACCACCATAAAATATATCCCAATTCCAAAAAACTAATTTACAAATGTACTTTTGAAACACCTTGTTAGAAAACTCACTCTTAGATGCCTGTCAAGTTCATCATGCCTATATTTTGTGAATTATACTTTCATTCAGAACGTACAATTTCATTTATTTATACTGTAAATTCTGTGCTGTTTTATATGAGTGTGACTGTATTTTTTTATTGCAATAAAATTCACATAACATAAATTCACCACTTTAACAATTTTAAAGTATACACTTCAGTGGTTATTCACTATATTTACAATGCTGTGCAACCATCACCACTATCTAATTCACTTTCATCACCCCAAAAAGACCCCACATCCTGAACATTTCATACAAATAGAATCGTATAATATGTTGTCTTTGTGTTTGGCTTCTGGCACTTAGCATAGTGTCTCCAAAGTTCATGTATGTTGTAACATGTATCAGTACTTCATTCTTTTTTTTTTTTTTTTTTTTGCAGAGGAAGATTCACCCTCAGCTAACATCTATGCCAATCTTCCTGTATTTTCTATGTGAATCACTCCCACAGCATGGCCACCGATGAGTGGTGTAAGTCCATGCCCAGGAACTGAACCTGAGCTGCCAAAGCAAAGTGCGCTGAACTTAACAATTAAGCTACAGGGATGGCCCCCTTCATTCCCTTTTATAGCTAAAAATATTCCATTTTATGGATATACTACATTTTATTTATCCATTCATCAGCTGATGTACATTTGAGTTGTTTCCATGTTTTGGCATTTATGAATAACGCTGCTGTGAACATTCAAGAATTCATGTATTCGTGCAAATATATGTTTTGGTTCTCTTGGGTATATATCTAAGAAGAAAATTGCTGGGTCATATGGTAACTCTGTTTAACATTTTGAGGAACTGCCAAACAGATTTTCACAGGGCTGTACTGTTTTATTTTCCTACCAGCAAGGTATGAGTGTTCCAATTTCTCCACATCTTTGCCAACACTTGTTAGAGTCTAGTTTTTTTATTATAGCCATCCTAGTGGATATGAAATGGTTTTGATTTGCATTTGATTAGTCATTTGCTAATAATTCATGATGTTGAACATCTTTTCATGTGCTTATTGGCCATTTGCACACCGTCTTTGGAGAAATGTCTGTCCAAGGCTTTTGATCATTTTTGAGTTGGGTTGTTTGTCATTTTGTTGTTGAGATTCTCTGGGGGGGGGGTGTGTGTGTGTCTGTGCACATGCTATAACATGCTTGAAGCCTGTAGAGCTTCCTATATATTTGTTTTTCAGTATACACTTTGTAGCATTTTCCATGTGTTATGCTATGTCCCTTGCTAGATTGTAGGTTGCCCTAGGGAAGAAATGCACAGCATTCAAATTTATTACAAAGCTGAAACAATAGAATTGCAATAAATATTGGGATTGAATTGATCAGAGCTATTTCTAAATTACAACAAATTAAGGTAATTGCTTTGATATGTATTTTGGCAGAAACTTATGCTACTTCAGAGACCAGGTTCTATATTAAAGAGACATGAGGCTGATTCCTTCTTCCCAAATCCTTCTTTGTGAATGATAAGGCACTATTCTAAGTTAGCAGAACACCTTCTACTTCCTCTTGTCTATAGATGTAGGTGCAGACCCTTCTGTCCATACCTACAGAGACATACACATATATAGCTGCACAAATTCTAGAATAACGTATCCCAATAGACTATGTTTATTTTATTCATATATTAGCCCCATGATAAAATGGAAGGGGGCGGGGAGAAAAATTTTGTTTCTTATACATAGGCCTTCCATAGAAATTGAGAGGCTGCCTGAAGATGGGCTTTTCATTTTAGGCATCCATAGGAGAAAAAAATACAATCTGTAATCATTTATAAATGTCCCAGAGAAGACAACAGCCCTTAAAATTATTTATGTCATTTTTTAACGGTTTACCGGTCATAGTTTATGTTGAAATATTCTTAGTGGGGACACCAGTAAGAATAAATTAAGAGCCAAAATCTTTATACCTGTGACTACCATTTCCATGAACTGATGCTCAATGATGATTGCTCTAGGACAATTTAAGAAGCTCTAATTCATATTCAGATGAATCACTATTAACTCGACTTGCTCCTTTTCCAATTCTCAACTTCCATTTTTAACATCTTGACATCCGAAGTTTACCCACGATCCAATCCTCACTTCACAATCTGGTTTAGAAATTGGAGCATTATCTTGTTCTTCTATTCCTGTTCCAATAACCTTTCTTGGGCCATCTCTCTAAGACTGAGGCTTTGACTTGCCTAGCCAATCTTCTATAGATGGAGATTTTGGTATGGAACACCAGAAGTTTCCAGATATCCTGCCTGAACCCCATAACCTTTAAGTAGAATTCCCTTATGTGAACTGTCTGCATATCTGCTTGGATTCCCAAATTGCACTAGATTGTGAAATTCCTACTGCTGTGTACTACCTTCCTTCACAGAAGAACGTACATTTACTTATTTCCTAACTCAGCTGTTTTTTTGAATTTATTCCTATTGCCTATCACCTTAAACATTCCTATCTTTTTGATTATGTCAACTCTGAATCTGTCCATCCAAAACAACACTGGGGCAGTGGAGAGGAGAAGGGATGCATGACGGGATCTGACCTACCCTCTAGTACAAGACAGAGACCAAGGAAGTGATGCCTAGACGAATAGATAGTAGGTGAATGAAAGACATAGTCTCAGGCATATTTCAGCTAATATTGGAAGTTCAAGTACAAGAGCACAGTGACAGATTCTGGGCTGAGCAATGCTGAGAAATGCAGGCAGGCAGCCAGATAGGCAGGCAGCTGTGAGCTGGGATATCAATTCACAGTTAATACACATCTGTAATGGGACAAATGTCTGGAGTCCAAGAAGATTGGCAACTGAAGTGCCGGACAGCCAGGTTCCAATAGCTGGCTTAGTCCATGGGATAAGGGACCACACAGATGCTCAGCACAAAATATTGGGTCTCCTAGAAAGCAAAGGAGGGTCATGATTTGAGGCAATTCTGAAAGACAGAGCTAATTCCAGAGGCACTGATGCTTGGCCTGGCTAATAGGGCAAAAAACTGGGAGCAGAACGCTGGATACCAATTGCTGCCTTTTGACTGGTATATCCACCTTACCAAGAAGTAACTACAACAGAGGGAATGGGGTCATTTTAGGTTGTCTTTTTCATCACCATCTGAATCATCTAAGAATTAAAGTGGTACTGAGCCTAAAACGGGGAGTCATTTTGTTCAGCAAACACCTTTGTTATATGCTAGGACAGAGGAAATGTACATGGGGACCAATAGAGTAGATTTCCTCTTATAGTTTGACTTTCTAGCACCTGCTCCAGTGTGTGAGTCCTTCCAGAGGCCCCTAAAGTGCCCACTCCCTGTGAAGCCTCTCACGTTTGGCTGAGTCATGTAATATATGATGCCAAGAGAGTTAAACTAGCAACATTTTAGGAATGTACAGTTAGGAATGTTCTGAGTTTTTACATATTTTCAAGGAAAATTTAATTTCTTTCACATAATTCTGAAATAAAAATAAATCAATAAGTGCATTTGACAATGTTTAGAAAATAGAAGAATCAAGTTAATGGGTCCTAAAAAATGCTACAAGAAAAAAGAAACACTTTTAGTTTACCTCACATCTCTTTAGGTATCTGTTACATGTTGAATGAGCTTCCTTTGTGATTTCACAGCCTCTTTGCCTCTCTATTCCAAAAATCTCAACACACACTTGTCATATTTAATCGCAAAGGCCCAATGGAAAGATTTAAAGCCAGATAGACTGGATTTGAGTCCTGTCCCCAAAATTCTTGGCTGAATGTCCCTGGGCATATTTTTAACCTCTCTGTGACTCAATTTTCTAAAACTTAAAGTTGGAATAATGATACAGACCTTGCAATACTGTGTCTAGTAAAGTGTCTGGTGCCCAAAAATTCCTATTCCTTTGTTTCATCCTAAATATGACTTCAAACATATCATCAGTGTTCAACAGTTTCCTGTTGTCTTTGTATTGAAGCACAAACTACTCTTGGCATCATAAATGTGTCAAAATATGACCCAAACCTACCTAGCAATAATTATTTTCTATGCCTTCCATATTTACAATTTAATATCCCGTCATCCAATTCTCAACATATCTTACGATTTTAGAGCACTTCCTTTGCTCATGTTGTTCTTTTTGCCCAGGATTCCTTTCAACGTCAAATGAAGTTCAAACATAATGTATGTTATAGTTTTCCTGCCACCTCGTCCACAAAACCTCTCAAGACCTTCTTCAACCATAGTAGATAGCAACTTCCCCTTCCTGGAACTCCCCATAACAACTCTCTTAGAATCTACATCTGATTTATGCATTGAGAATTATGCATTTATGTTATGTATGTTAATAATACTATTAACAGTATTAATTAAAATTTGAGCGTATAGAGTGTTTTAGAGTTTGCAAAGTGTTTTATCTTATTACCTCATTTAATGCTCACAATTACCATATGACTGTATCAAACTTCCTCCCCACTTAATACATGAAAAAATCACGGTTAAAGAAATCATCACTTTGTTAAAATCACATAGCTAAATGGGGTTGAAGTAGTGATCCAAACTCTTGTATATGACCCAAGTCTGTACTTTGGAAAAAGAACCAGTAGAAGTTTCCAGTACAGCTGAGGTATCTATTTTGGAGTTCATGACTTTCGTTAATTTAGTTCTGGTAATTTTATTACCTATTTTTCTAGGACATGGAAATATTCAACTTCCTTTACAAACTTAACAGATGAAGAATATATCTTCTAAATATACAAGAAATACAACAAAAAACAAAACAGAAAAGAGTCATATGGATATTTTTTAAATTAAAGTGTTTAATTGCATTTTATTTTATGTTTTGATCAGGATTACATTTCTGTTTGATAAGAGAATTAGAATATGTGTATATATATTTGTTTTTCATTTTGAAAAGTTTAAAATATACATAAATTTTGCACAATATGTGTATTTCATATAGGTATTGTAGGAATGCATTTTACAGAATAAACATTAAAATTGTTTATGCTGTATTATAAGGGGAAAGTACATGGAAAAGACAGAGGACTATTAAATAGAAGTAAAAAAAATTCCATTATGCCTCATGACAAAATCTTTTTTTTTTGGTCCAAAGTAAATATATTTTAAAAGTCAAGGCCAATAGTTTTACCATCCAAACAGTAGAGATTATCATATTCAACTGTTAACACCAAGACTATCCAACTTATAAAATGCATTTGTCATTTTTATAAATAAGTTTCTAAAGAACTGACTGTAGGTTAATAATTTAGTCCTTTATTTGTCAAAGTAGACAGTGCCATGGGTCCCTGTTTTAGTGAGGACATTGGGTTTCCCGGGAAAAAGGAAAGCTCTGACAATGTGAGGGGGGCTGCCAATGCCTTTAATCGTGATGTTACATGGGACCATGGAAAAGTCATCTTTTGGTTCTCTCCACTCATTGTTTTCAAAATTTTCTTCAAATCTAGGCTTCCCCACAGTTTTTCCCCCTTATCACAAAGGATATTCGTGGCCTAGAAATCTTTTCTTGTGCCCAGCCAAAAGTATCTTTGCAGTGGCTATTTTAACCCTGTAGTAGATAGGTTAGCTTCAACCGTGTAGCTTCAACTCTTTGAAGAGAAGAATTTTCTAATTTAAATAGTGAGCTAGCATTAATGTGCATATAACACATTAGTATTTGGTACAAAATTAAATTAGATAATTACAGTTTCCCTTAGTATATAGTATTTAAAATTAGCAAAAGAGCTTTATCTTTGTGTCTAACCCAGTGGTACTCAAACTTGGATCCATTTTAGGATCATCTGGGTAGCTTTTAATTATGCTGATGCCGGGGCCCAAAACACAGTGATGAGGATTGCACTGGCCTGGGGTGGACCCCAGGCATGGGGATTTTTATTTATTTATTTTTTAAAATTTTATTTATTTTCCCCCCCAAAGCCCCAGTAGATAGTTGTATGTCACAGCTGCAAACCCTTCTAGTTGCTGTATGTGGGACGCGCCTCAGCACGGCCGGAGAAGCGGTGCGTCAGTGCGCGCCCAGGATCCGAACCCGGGCCGCCAGCAGCGGAGCACACGCACTTAACCGCTAAGCCACGCCGCCGGCTCAGGCATGGGGATTTTTAAAAAGCTCCTCACATGCTTCTTATATGCAGCTAAGTTTGACTTAATCACTGCTCTGATCCTTAAAGAGATGCACAAAAAAATTGAGAGTTAATCAGTAAATTTTTTCCTGCTAAATTTTCCTCTGTATGTATATATATTTTGAATGGTTGTTGCTCAAGGGGTTCTATTATGGTAGAAAAAACTTATTACAATATTTTATTTAAAAATTTATTTACCCTCATCTCAAGTCACAATGGCAAAAATAGTATCTTGGAAATCCAGAAGATCCAGAAATTGATGTTGCTATTAACGCAATTCCCCAGGTGATATAAAAGATGTTCTACTTAAACTGTAGTCAGCAGCAGAAAAGAAACACCTACAGCACTATCGAATAAGATGTTTGGAGAACAAGTCACCAAGAAACAGTTCACATCTACTTGTGTGAGAATTACAATAAAAGTACAAAGAGACTGAAAAAGAAATACAGAACTATTGTTAAAAATAATGAGTCACATTGTAGCAATTTATATGCTAATTGAAATCTATACACCTGGACTTTAAAAAACATCCTAAGAATATTCTAATGATATAGCTACATGAGGAAGAGCTGTAAAAATAGCTTTTATGCTATCTGAGTGCAAGTGTCCTCTCTACATGTTGCTGCTAAGATCTTGTCATCACTGTTAATTTAAAAAGACGATGACCATAATAATTTTGAGAAAACTGCTATACACATTGCAGTAACCATTTCTATTTATGTGGAAAGAGAACTAGTTAACTCCAAAATAATGTTGACTTGAGACTATGAAGAAAGTTTCCTTTATCCTTTTGAAAATCATTTTTGCTGATAATCCTCTTAAACAACCAGTCCTTAAAGCACTTTCCTGTATTTGTGATTTTTTTCCTCCTTCATCTATCTGTATTTAACTTTTCGATGTGTGCATCTAGTCCAATGTCTTGGACAAAATATTTGTAAGAATGATCTTTGGATACAGATAATATCTGATAATTTGGTTAGCAAACCTATGCCAGTCAGACACTGTCCTAGGAGCCCATGAAATAATTTACATTTTATACAGATTTTATTGCTTAGAAAGTTCATTAAGAAACTATACACTTGCCTTTGAACCACCATCTGTATTATAACTAAAAATTTATATTCAAAACATAATTTTAATTAAGAATTATAATTGGTGACTAAATTGACTGGTGTGGTAAAGTGCTGTGCTGGTAAATGTTTAACAGCTGTTGAGGGTGCAGAGAGCTGACTCATAGTGTTTGCTGATTTACCTGTTGTAAACTTTTCCATCGTGGCCATTTCAAGCCCCCAACATGACATCATGGATATGGAGCCGGGAAAAGATGCTAACATTCAACTCTCATGAGCAGCAATTAATGAATTAATCAACATGAAATTTTATATACTTTAGGGAGAATGAACGCGTCTCTGAAGACAAATAGAGAGATAAAGAGCAGAAACAAAAGCTCCCAGTTGTAACTGCTCTATCATTCTTTGAAATATTTGAAAGGCATGGATTGAGTTTAGAACAAGTATTGTTCTAAGTACTTGGAATATATCATTGCACAAAACAGAAAATAGTCTTGCTCATGTAGTTTGTAGACTAATGCAAGAAGATACAAAAACATAATAAATTAATGTAGTATATTAGAAGATTTCAACTGCTATGGAAAAAAAATAGTGCAAGGTAAGGAGGATTATCAGTTCGCAGGACACAGTTTGCAATTTTAAACAGAAAGGTTAGAGCAGACTTCTGTGAAAAGGTAACATTTGGGCAAAACTTTGAATCTGACATGTTTTTAAAAAAGCACTCTGGGCCGGCCCCGTGGCTTGGTGGTTAAGTGCGCGCGCTCCGATGCTGGCGGCCCGGGTTCGGATCCCGGGCGCGCACCGAGGCACCGCTTCTCCGTTCATCCTGGGGCCGAGTCCCACATACAGCAACTAGAAGGATGTGCAGCTACGACATACAACTATCCACTGGGGCTTTGGGGGGAAAAAATAAAAAAATAAAAAAAATAAAAAAAATAAAAAAAATAAAAAAGCACTCTGTTCCTGTAAAACTGATGAAATCTGAATAAACTCTGTGGATTAACCAATGTCTATTTCCTGGTTTTGATGGTATTTTATAAACTGTAGTTATGTAAGATGTAACCATCTGTAATTGGTACATGGGCCTCTCTGTATGTATTTTTTGTAAATTCCTGTGAATCTATCATTATTTCAAAATATTTTTTAAAAAGAGCACTCTGACTATTGTATTGAAAACAGACTGTAGAAGACAGGGGTAAAAGCAGAGAAATAAAGAATTTTTACATTAATTTAGCCTAGAGATTTGATGACTTTGCGTGAAGGCGTTAGTGGCGGAGCAGGAAAAAGAGATTATTCTGAAAGTGGAGACAAAAGGATTTCCTGATGAATTGAATATGGGCTATAAAAGTGAAGAGTCAAAAATGATCCCAAAGTTTTATGTTTGAGCAATTGGAGGGATGAGATTGCCACGAAGAATGGGGAACAGTGCAGATGAAGCAGGTTTGGGATTGAGAGTTCTCAATTTTAGTTTTAGGCAAATTATATTTAAGAAATCTATTAGATATCTAGGTGTAGCCACTAAGGAAGCAGTTATATATGAGTGTGGAATGCAGGAGAGAGTCTGAGCTAAAGACTAAATTTGAGTGTTATTTGTATAATGATATTTAGAGCCAGAGAACTGATGATATCACATGGAGAGTGAACATAAAGAAGATACCAAGGACTAAGACTTGGAGCACTTCACTCAAAAGTTCAGATGCCAGGAAAAGAGGAAGAATCTGCAAAAAGAGTAAGAATAAGTATCTAGTGAAATAGCAAGAAAACTGGGAGAAGCCATGTGTCATGAAAGCAAAGTGTCATATAATGTCAAGTAAGATGAGGAGCAGAAACTAATCATTGGATTTTTAGCAAGAAGAAAGTCATTCATGTCCCTGTCAGGAACTATTTCAGTTCAGTGGTTGGGACAAAATCCCAATCAGAGTGAGTTAAGAGAAAATAAGATGGGAAGAATGGAGGCAGCAAATATAGGCAACTCATTCGAAAAGATTTGCTGCAATGGAATCAAAGAATTTGAGCAGTAGCTGGACTGCAGGAAGTGGACTCAGTTGATTCTTTTAAGAGGAGAGAAAAGAATGCAATCTTGTTCACAGCAGAAGGTATGGCTTAGGATGGCAGCATGGATCTTTCACCTAAGCGGAACTGCATAGTATACAGGTTCATATTCTAGGGGGAGGTAGATGTCCAGTTGGTATATGTAAATTTCTTTTATGATTACTTTACTTCAGTCAGTGAAAGAGGAAGAAAGGCCGTCAGCTGAGAAAAGAGGAGAGGGGAAGTGATGGAGATGTGAGGAGAGTACTGAGGTGTTGAAAAGTCACCGAGGAGAAAGCGAAAGTGAACAGACAAGGGAAGTGTGGTCTGATGGCCAGGCCACAGTGAAAGCTAGTCAGCTATAAAGTAGTGGAGAGTTAAAATTAACTAGGGTTATAGTTTGTCCATCCAAGTGCTATGGAGTGAGGGGGGCAAGGAAGTTGAGGAAGGAAGCAAGGAGATAATTTTAATGACTTTTCATGGGGTAAGGCACTTGGGTTTTGGATTAATACCTCAATTTAGGTGGATTATTACTTCAATTCAGGAAGAGTCCACTGTATGAATCTGCTGGTCATTCTCTTCAGTTTGAGAGAAAACAATTCCTGGCGATTATTGTGCTTTTCAGAACTTTATACCCTCTACTCAGATGCCAACCTCCTCTGTACAAGCCATAAGGGGATATGGAGAAGAGAAATTTGGAATTCAAGTTGTTTTCTATGTGTGTTTCCAAAGAGTTAACAGTACCTCAGTGGTTCTTGGCTCCCCGCCCTCTTCCTTCATTTTTCTCTCCATTCTATTAAGTGGCTAATTATGCTTGGACACATTTAGTTACAGTTAATAATTGTCTTTTCAGCCTCCTTCCTAGTCCAGACAATGATAAAATAGAGAATCCAAGTAGTTCAGCTCTATATGGAGTCATCATTAGTAGTGGTGGAAAAAGGTTATTTCTCTAGAAGAGAGACATTCTCAGCCCCAGGTTTGTACTCCGCTGCCCCTGCTCCTCCCCTCTCATCTGATGATGCTCTGCCATCCCCAGCGCACACTCACTTGAGCCATTTCAGAGAGACTGAATAGTAACTTTGATGACACTTTCTACCCGGCATGATTGAAGTTACCATATTTTTCCTGCTCCTTTGGCTTAAAGTCTGCTCATGTATTCTCTATAATTTTTTTTTTCTTTTTAAAGGTGATTTTGATTCATTTATTGGGTTTGGTGAGGGGATGTTTAAGAAACTGTATTCATTGTATTTCCCCAGATAGACTAGATTTTTCTAAAAAGAACTATTGTTGCAAGAAATGATGATTTCATGCAGTATTGTTCAAGCAGTTCCTTCATAAATATGCATAATCTCCAAACTAATGAATCCATTTGTCAACTAAATATCCAGATTTTTAGATTGACAAGTGCTGCTTAACCATCGTTCACTATTTTTGGTGACATTATTGCTATTGGTAAATGGGTATAGCAATAATAGCTTCCTTGTGCTTCTGCTGGCATTAGCACCTGGTGCACAGTCAATATTCACTAAGTGGAGCCCTCAGCCTCATCTGTGCTGTCAGATTTACACTGAGCTCTGGGAATTTTTTTTTTTTTTAAGATTTTATTTATTTTATTTTTTCCCCCCAAAGCCCCAGTGGATAGTTGTGTGTCCTAGCTGCACATCCTTCTAGTTGCTGTATGTGGGACTCGGCCTCAGGATGAACGGAGAAGTGGTGCCTCGATGCGCACCTGGGATCCGAACCCGGGCCGCCAGCATCGCAGCGCGCGCACTTAACCACCAAGCCACAGGGCCGGCCCATCTGGGAATTTTTTTTTGCTATAACCTTAGTATCAGATTATTATCCATTTTCTTCATTTTCTTTTGCATTTTCACTAGATGCTTTAAACTTCCTATTTGTACCAACAACCAGGATATAACATAAAATATTTTAACTAAAATTATATTTAAATTATCAATTTTAATTTTTTTCATATGCAAATTCACTTCTGTGGACAATAAAGTGCAGTCATTTTATGTGTTTCAATCAAAATATTTAATGAAATGCAACTATGAGTTACAATTTTGAATCTGTATGTTATTAAAAATTTTTAAACCCACACTAGTTCAGAAGACAGTTTTATTTTTTTCGAAGTTCTTACGTGGGTCGCAGAACACTTGCTGAGAAACCAGACATTCTGGCAACAACTGTATTCTCTGGTCGTGATGCTAATAACATCCTGTTTTAAGACAATACAAAATTACCAAAGCTCTCAATTAGTTTCTGACCATAAAAATTTTCAGGTCTCTGTACATTTACCAACAAACACAATACTAGGCAATCTGGAAAAACCGGTCTATTTATGTTGCTGGCATACATATTTCAAAGAACATAATTTGCTCACATACATATTTTAAAGAACATAAAACTCCCAAATACTGTCTCTAAGTCTTAAATTCAAAACAGATCTCAGGGAAATGTGCCATATTCATGTTGTGGCTTTACGTGTCTACTCATCATTACCAGGCCTCCAGAGGCTGGGAAAGCTTTAATGTGAACAGGAGGGCTATAACTGTACACATAATTATAAGTAGTCGAAAGATTTGCTTCCAGACCTTGACTCTTACATGATCTATGGGATAGTCCTCTCATAAAATGGACCTCTATTTTCTGCCTCTAATACTGAGGAAATTAGAAGAAACAATATTTAAGGACACTTTTAGCCACAACATTCTATGATTCTATGATAACAAATATCTCCAGATACCCTAGGAGGATCCACAGTCCAACCTTCTAATTATTGCCCTCCTAATAGTCTCATCTCTAATTCTCACTTCCCTCAATCCTTGTCCCACTTTTGAACAGAAAGTTCATATTGAGGAACTTGGAAATTTCTAATCCCACCACCAGAAAAGCCGAAAAAAGGGGGAGCAGAGCAAGAATTTGAGTTCAGAAAGGAATATGATGTTCTGGCATGTAGAATTCCCCGGTGTTATCAGAACCTCTAGTAATATTAGTACTGGTATTATACTTGAGAAATATATTTAGAATTACACTTATTACTCTGAAAAGTGATCAGCTTTGATCAAGTTCCCTTAAAGTTTAAATTGACGATTTTAAACTGAGAACTTAACCTACAAGGTGAAAATCAATCTTTGTATTTTTAAAAATTGTTGGGCTGAGAGTAGACA